TATTGTAGGGCATGTATGGAACAATTTACCGCTCCCTGCAAAATCTGCATCGACATTAGCAGAATTTAAGTTACATCTAAAACATTGCGAATTTATAGGATGTCAGTGCCAATCTTGTATATAATTTCTTAGATTTGTACCTTATTAGTCTCGTTTACCTTTTAATAACTTAATTAATATCCATAATGTAGATATGTATTTATAGTATTATAGTATGTCGTGCACTTTTTACATGAGCCTCCGGCTCGGATGATTGGGTAACCGCATCCTGTGTATACGACTTTAAATAAATCATTACATTACATTACATGGACAAGATCCATTTGGATTTGTTGTGCAAGTCCGTCGACATAAGTCCGTTGAGTTTTAAAATGTTTTCATATCGGTTTATGAAGGATGTACGTATTTTGCGTTTGCAACCATTCCTTGACATTTTTTCGCGTGACTTCTTCGATACGTTCTTCTTTCGCATCCCGATATACTTTTTCCATCGACATGTATCCACCGTTCACGTTAAAATAAAGTTCGCGTAAACCTAAATCCAATGATAATTCCATTATTCTTTATTTTCCTGAGAAAATAAAGGGTCATGAAGAAGATTACCGTGTACGTTGACAATGGGAAAACCACGTTAAAATTACAGGATCCGTTATTACTTACGCATGCATCCAAGTTGTACGTAAACACAGCGGCCGTCTTTTGGAATTATCGGAATATTCGAAAAGGATACAACGACTATTTTTTCCATCGACGGGAAAAAAGTCATGTTGGACGAAGGATATTGGACTTTTAAAAATTTACGAAAGATGATGGAAGGACAAGGACTAACCGTCGAAGAATTTCCCGACGACCGAATTAAGATCGGATTCACGAATGGAATAAAATCTTTAAATTTATGGCGACTCGGAGATTTGTTAGGTTACGCTACATTTTCCACGACGCATAAAAGTGATCGTATCGTCGATATTCACGAACGATTACGTTATTTAACGGTCGGATGTAATTTAGCGAACCGATCCCGAAATATAGATTCGGTTGGGTTTCCCAGTCATATTATTACGTCGCTTCCCATCGACGGAACAAAACCTTTGTTTGGAACAACGACTAAATACAACGACATCGAAAGCCAAGTCAGTGCCGATGCGGGGATTTACCACGACCTTCATTTCGATGTGAAATCTAATATCCGTGGAATCATACCGGGGAATGTTTTAATGGAACTTTACGTTATATAAATTTAATGGACGAAGAACAGATATTCCGGAATTATTACGGAAAAAATTACGAGAAGGTGAAAGCCGCATTTCCCCTGGAAATCCAGAAAATGAAGAAGAATTTCCTGAAAAAATATCCCAACGCGACTTTATCCAAGTTTAATTTTGAAATCACGTTCGCGAAAGATGGATTTCTGGATTCCAAACAGATTTTTTACACGGTCGACGATCTCACGAGTTACGATATCACGTCCGATACATTTCGTACGAATCCAGACTGGACGAAATATTTATTTTGGATGAACGGATGGCGTAACGTTGCGTCCGACGCCAGGTTTCGTCCGAATCAGGAATTTTCGATGAACTTGCACACATTTAAAATTTACGTGTCGGAAACAGAATATTTTCCCGTCCACCTTGAATACACGACACCGCAGTATACTACGACAGAAAAATTTCTGGATTTAGTTCCGTTTGATTACCATACGAATTCTTATTTTTGTTCGTTGGCAGCTTGTTATGTATCCTCGTTTAAATCCGGAATTTCCGAAGATCATCTCAATAATTCCATTTCCAATTCTCATCTCGTCACGGCGATCGTGAAATTTCACGTTCATTACCAAATGGAAAAATTTATGAAAAATCCAAAATTACTTGATCATTATTTAACCGAGGATGATATTTTCATCCTCCGAAAATACACACCCGTTCATGAAACGTGGGAAAGACGAACGTTATCCTCGCAATGTGGGAACGTGGTATTACGGATTACCTGCCGACGTCCGTCGTAAAATCCGACGCCAACATTATGTACGAACCCGATACGGTAGAAGTACATCGAGTATGAATATTTAACGGGAAGATCGCCGTTGGATATCATGAACGTCCACAAAATTTTCATTCCAAAAACATCGCGTGGATTAACGAAATTGGGGCAACAATTATTCCAGAAATCTCTCGAAGTCTATGTGTATTCCGTTCTTGGATCGCAAGCGAAAACTCGATGGAGTATCGTAGGACAAGGAGCAAAAAGTTTACAGACGCAAGAAGTCACCTCTCCCTTTATATTCCCAAGTGTAATCCTTTATCTTATATCCGTATGTCTGGCGACGGCACTGCGTGTGTCAATGTATCCAAATGCAAGTGCCACTTCCTTCGCTGCAAAATAGATTTTACTGTCGTGAGATGTAATGGTAGTAATTTCGTTAATTGTAGAAACTTCATCGCCCAATCCATGACGACCAACCGTGAACTGGAGTCAAGCTTTGCAAGAACATCTTGTTTAGCGCGTTCTTGATTTGTTGTCCGCATGACATGTGCTTTCCTAGCTTTTACAGCTTGCTCAAAATCAGAAACGATGTCTTCTTGTTGCTCCTGACTGTAAAACGTGAGGCCTTCATGTTTGATAGCTCGCTCTATTTTGTTGGTGCATGTAGAAATGTTATCACATTGGTTACAACGTGTTGTATGTTCATGCGCGCAGGTTTCCTTCAAGTCTGCGTTTTTGGGATCACTAAGCCCGAACTTCAAGCAATGACCAGGACAAGGGCTCTCGGATTCTTGGCAATGATTACGGTATTGCGTTTTTAAATAACGTTTGCCATCTAAGAGAGACTTCTTTATAGCTTTTGACCAATTATCATCTTGCCCTAGTTCCTGTAGATCATCCACAATTTTACAAAGTTTCTTAAAACCAGCTGAGCCATCCGCTGCTGTATTGTCGACACCACACAACGACTTTTGCTGTGAGGCTTCTCTTACTTGGAGGATCCGAAACAACGTCGCGCGACTCAGTGGCTCTACATTCTCTTCTTTGCAGAACATCAAATACTGGTTAATCATGGTTGAGCGAGTTACAGTGCGGATTACATTAGGCATCTTAACTTTGCACCACTATCCATCTTTAATGTTCTAGTTCCGTATGCCATATCTTGGTAAAAGTAAGGTCTGTTGATGAAATCAATAAAGTGGTCTATTTGAAGTTTATTCAGTCGTACACGATGAGATGTGGAGTTCTCAACGGCAAAACCTGGTCCACATTCGCGGGCGTGAGCTCGTGCTCTCTTGACTTGCCAATCAGTTATGCGTTCGTACGGTTCATGTAGCTTTTTCAGTTTTTTTTGCGGAATACTGGTAAGCATAAAGACTCAAAATTTGTGTTTTTCAATTTCTGGTTGGAGCATTTTTGTGCGCTTGCATAAGGGTAATCAGCTCATCTGAAACATTTTCAATCTCTTGGTCGGGTAACTGCACACACGATTGCAAAAGTTCATCTCCAGCCTTTGGTGCTATTACTTCGCATACGATCTTGCATCCTTCCATTGCTTTATCAATGCAGATTTCCTTTTCCTTCTGTGTTGCTTCCTCCCACGTTGTATTTAATTGAAAGGTCAAAGGGGTGAAATTTCTAACATTAACTTTCTCCGACAAAGGAGATAATGCTTCATTGTATTGGAACATCAACGAATCGTTCTCTTCTCCACCTAGGCGGCATTCTTCTTCAGAATCTTCTTCTTCGCCCGTCCATTGTCCTGGAGTCCATTCAGCTGGTACAGGCATAGTCGTTGGTGAAACTGGGGTGCATTCCCAGTGTTTGACGTTGCTCATGGTCATTTCAGCGACTTTTTTAGCAAGCCTAAGAAACAAAATGTACATACATTTAAGTCTATCCTATAAAAAACGTAACTTGCTTGTTTAATTTAAGTGAAATTACTGTTCCAATTATTCAGAGGTGGGAGGTTTTATTCAAGTGAAGCACGTCTCACCGTGATTGGTCGTTAAGACAAGCTGCTGTCATCTTATCTTTTTCTTGATTTTCTAGTTCTATCCATCCTTGGTTTTCCTCGAACTTCTTCGCATGTTTTTTAAGACAAGAACAACAAACAGCTGTACAGAAGAAAATACATAATTACACATTTCCTTCTATTGCAACATTCTCCAAAACGCGCTGAAAGAAATCATGCATGCACGTGCATGGGGCTAGCGCCTTAGGCAAGATCTCTCTGTCTTTTTACCACGGGATCATAAACATTAATATACCCACTCTACATTAAATAGATTAATAAACGTGTCATAACATCACCCAAATTAATTTTACCTGAACCTATTGGAACCATTATGCAAAAAATTTTGTTTGCGCATGCCCAGACATCTGCAGAGTTACGACGTCAAGATTTTTCAGCGCTTTTTCAGTACCAGAGTGTAGAGGGTACTGACACGTTCTTAGAGGACGCCAATTACGACCCAAGTTGTACAGGTACTTCGGACAAATCCACCTCTTTTCCAGTTGGTTTGGCGGGAAATCAAATATTCCCGCCCTTACAAGGATTAGCTCATATTCTTCGATTTTTCCAACTAGCCTAGAAAGGTGACATGCTTGCAAATGACCTGTTATGTCATCTTTGCATTCAAGTAATTTACGCACTATATTCGACGATTTACGAAATTCTCCACAAGACGACTTTGCAAGTTCAGAGAAAGAACAGATTGGCTCCATAACTGTAATTCAACCTTCAAATAAATTCACTAAGGGCCTGGGAACGAATCGCAAAAGTAAACAAAACATTATTGTTAACTTTACTTCCGCTTTCCATATTCCAAGCCGTTTGATGCAAATATTTTGTAATTGATATGTGTTTAGGACTTTAGATAAATGTATTGTGTTTACCTGATGTCTTTGGCTTCATTTCGAATTCCGTCAGAATCAAGCAAGCAAGCTCGTTGTGACCAACAAAATACATGCGAGTTCTACCGCATTCGTTGGATACAGTATTTTACTGCATAATTTTATGAGCTTCGTTGAATAGTTATTTACAAACTTCACGCCAGTGGATAAAATTTCAGTTTATGTGACATTATTCTTGGATTTAAAATGTCACACGAAGATCAAAGCTCTCAACTTATGGGCCGTTATGGCTAGGTAAGAGATTTAGTGATCGAATTACATAGTAGTTTTCGACGGCCATACTCTGTCGGTTGGCACTGCATTTTGAAAATTTTGTGAGTTGTAGGCGACTGTTATTTTTCCTAACGTCGCATGCGGAAAAATTTGATTCTTGTTTTGAGTTACACGTTATTTACTGTTTCCATTTATATAATTCAGGCGTTTCAGATAGGTGCCACACTTTTAAAATTCGCTCTTGAAGTAGTCATATTTTTGCGATTTGTCGAAAACCAGTTTACATGTTGTAAGTTTATAGCTGGTTCTGAAGAATTCTCAGGCGCATTTTGAACAATAATACGTCCAGATATTCAGCTATGCCAAATCTATAAACTGTACAAAAACTAAGGTTTTAAATTGAAATCCGCTTGTTTTACAGCTACGAAAAAATCAGTCATACTTCCGATTTTCAACTGTGATAATTGAATTTGCCTACTCCTATCTTAGTATCTATCCTGAAAATGTCAAAATCGACTTACGAATGAAATGCAACTCGTT